AAAATCGCAATTTCAGTCTCATGCAGAAGAAAAAAAACAACAGCAAAACCTTGGTCATCACCGAACCTCTTCTTGCAGGAGGCTGGCTGTTCGAGGGCAGGGTAGCTACCAGAGGACGTGCTTTTCCAGGGGAGGGTGAAGTTTGAGTCACAGGGTGGTCCCTGCCTCTCAAGGAGGAAGCAGGATGGCAGAAGTTTGGGGCTAGAACTGTGTTTGATTTCAAGTCACCCTAAAGTGATAATGATGCCATATTTGAACTAACGTCAATTAAAAGATATCTCCTCATCCCACAAGACCTACCTGAGGCCTTGACTGCTACAGAGGAACCCCCACTTGAACAATTGGGGTGGGGGGGTTGCTGGGAGAGGAGACTAAACCTCCTTGCGTATCCAAACAACTGGACAGACAGGGAGTGATCCAAAGGAAGCCCTGCCTCACTCCTTGGTGTAAGTTTATGCGAGGAGGTGGAGGTGGAGGTGCCACAAGTCATCTTGTGTTGCATCCTCCCCGCTGTTGCCTGCTGAGCTCATTTCAAGGAGCCACCCACATTCAAGGAGGAGCAATCTTTTGAAAAGTCTCTTGGGGCAGATGATCAGCAGGGGCCTTAGTTATGGGTGGAAGTGAGAGCTCCCTGGGTGTGCTGCAACACACCAGGAGGGGAAAAGGGAGGAAAGGAAGGGTGGCATGAGAGCTGATGGCAGACTGTGCGCCTTGTGTTTGGTCCCTTCGCATCTCTCACACCAATTTTCACTTAAAAACTCAAAAGAACAGAATGCTTAGAGTAACTCAATTTTCTATGTGAAAAATTAAAGGCCTGGGCTCTGAGTCAGGCCTGATGGGAGTGAGGACACTAAGAGTAACATGGGGTGAGCAGGTGTGGGGAGACCCCAAAGCAGCACACACAGATGGAAATAGAAAACAGGAGGGCTATGAGGAGGCTGGCTGTAGAAGTTTCTGGAAATTGAAGGAAGGCTTTTGACTGTTTCAGGCTGAGGGATTTAGTTGTAGGCTAAGAAAAATTCAGTTCTCAAGGGTGACCCACTTGGCATCTGAATTACATATGTGTATGACAATAATATTAATAAATTTCATTTATTGAGCAATTTGATGTATTTTTATATATTATATTATTTGATTCTATTCTCATAACTTCAACAGATAAGTATGATTATTGCCTCTACAGGGTTTATTCCTGTTATAAGTTTCATTTTTTGACACTATTTTTAAACCAAATGACTCTAGGGCAACAAAGGAAGTTAAAGGAATCAAAAAGAAATAAACTGAAAAGTAAACTGAGGTGTAGAAAGCTTGGCAGCTCGACTCCTAAGCCTGTGTTCTTGGCCACTATAAACACTCAATCTCTTCCCTTTTCCTCCATTTTCCCATCCATCCATCTAGCCAGCCAGCCAACCACCCATCCATCCATCCACCCACTTACCCATTTATTCATCCATCTTTCTAACTTGTATCTATATCCACTTATAGATATAATTTCTCTTCAGGTAGGAGGTTGGATTAGATAACTTGACAATTTCCTTCCAGCTCTTAGGTAATATGAGGTATCTTTCACTTTAGATTATATTGTGATTATTTTTTGACAGGGTGTTGGTCTTCCTAATTAAATTGCTTAATATTGAACATACATTTTCACTGAAACTCACCTGGTTCTGAGATTATCAGGATATCATTTTGCTTCAGATTGTTTTGAACTCTGGATACCTGGCAGGTGGTGAATAAGAATGACCACTGACACACAATGAGCAAGAGATAATGATGGCCTGGAACTAGGACATCAGTTGTCTTTACCTCACTTGTATTCTAAGCCAATAGTGACAATGATGGTGGTGATGACAACGATGATAATGAGCCCAGTGAATCATCTGACCCTTATACCAGAAGAGATTTGGAGAGGTCATTCAATTTACCTTCATGCCTCCTATTAACAAATGCTTAATTAATTTCTGAAATATTTTAGAAAAAGTCCCAAGAATCTTGAAACCTTTTCTAGCCTCATCTCTTCCTGATTTTATCCAGAGTTCCCTCCTCTTATATCAGTTTGTTATTTTCCTCAATTTTAAAAATAATTATTGAAGTGAACCATACAACAAAAGAAAATTAAAATAAGCACACTGTATGGTCATGAGTTGCAAGAGATTGATGATAAAGGGGAAGCTGAATTTGGGGATAGAGAAGCTGGAAACAGATAGTTTAGCCTTCACAGAGACACAGACCGCATACTGATGCAGATCTTTTTCTTTTCAAATTCCAGGAATCATGGTGTGGTTGAAGTTGAGTCAACCGGAAGATGTGCCAAAACCTGGCTGTTATTTTGGACTTATATTTGCAGCAAGATCGCTCCCATTTCTCTCAGTGCAGGATCAAATGTCCTCTTGGCTTCCTACGTTTTCTATATTTGCTCCCTTTGAGAAGGAAGGAATAAGATCCAGAAGACAGTACTATCATTTATGGAGTATCTACACTATGTCAAGCACTGAACTCCACAGAGTTTATATCACTTGTTCATCCACATGTTACAGATTGAGACCTTTAAGGTTCAGAAAGTTCCAGGGTTCCCTGGTTGGTAAGTAATGGAGGTTGAACTGAGCCCAGATCTATGTTCTCCGTAGTCACTCACATGAGGAAAAGAGTTTGGGAGCATTTTATCTGCATTCCTTCTTAGATTCTACCTGAGATTAACATGATTTTTTTCCTGTCCATGCCTCAGGTCTCCACCTCCTCTAGTCTATGAGCCTACAGCTTCACATTTTTTGATAGTATGATCTTTTTCTTCCTACATGTGTGATCATGGCTCAAAGGATGGAGTTGTTCCTCTCACATAATTACACGTATTGGAGACCCTGATATCTTCCCTCTTAGCTTCAAATAGGATCTGCTCTGCAGTCTTCCGCTTGCCCTCCCTTCCATGGAATAGACACCAACTTTTGCATGCCTGCCTACCCCCAGGTTACAGGGAAGCCTCTGCCAGACCACACATCCCACTATGAAGGGAAGCACCTAAGACAGGCCTAGGCCCCTCCCCTGACCTCTGTGCATGATAGCATGCAGGCCTGCCCCACAGAGTCACAGTGTAGAACTCTGAGTAGCACCTGAGTGATGACTCAGAGGAGCAGCTGCCAATATACCTACGGGCACAGACCCCACGTGCCAGGATGAGAGGCCAGCTCCTGTGTTTAGCAGATGGTTGTTCCCAGCTGCAGCAAGACTGCAGCAGGGTATGGAAGAGATAAAAGGTCCAGTGGAAGTAGAGTTGTCACTTTGGTTTTTAAAATCAAATGACTGGCCTTTACACCCAAAGTCCTTCAAAAAGAGATAAGAACAACCATGAAGACACTCTCACCTCCCACTCAATCAGTTCAATCGGAATGGAGGGCAATCCTGCATAGATACAGAGGAAGATAAATTCCACAGGTATGTCTAATATCACCTTCAGGATGGCAGATGTCCTCACTGAGGTCCCTTTTCCCCTCTTCAGAATGAGGACAACTGGGTTTGGACTTTCTGTTCTATTCCTGAAACCCAAAGACCACCCTTAGAGAGAAACATACCCTTTGAAGGATGAGGACATGGGACACATGGTGTCTTTAAATAACAAGGGAAGGGAGTCTCTCAAATGAAGAGAATGGGGAAGTGGGCATGCCACTAAGTTGAGAATGCAAGGCTGAAAGGCAGGCGGAGTGTAGCTTTGTTTGGTCTGGAGAGAAGTTACCTTTATCAGGGAGTGAGGATTTAACAGGGGATCTACTCCTGACCACCCTGTGTCCTTCAGCCTTGCGTTGATGTCATGGCCCCAGATTCCTCCCAAGTCTTACTTTACAGCTAGCCTCAAGTTCTCCTATTTATCAGTGCAATTAATAAAAAATAAAGTGATAGTTCCTCAGGCTGTGTCTTGAAATAGACTCATGAAGCAGCTCAACCAAATACAGCATTTCCACTCAGTCTTCCAGAAGGGTCCCCTTCTTTGGGGACTCTTAATAAAACTCAGCTTGGCCAGCTATGGGAGTCCCTGTCAGCTGTGACTGACCAGCTCTTCACCCAGGGCTAGGAATAAGGCACCAGAATTTTGGGTGTGCGTGTGAGAGAGTACACAGAAACTGTCCCACCCCACACCCCACATACCTTAACAGGGTGGAGCAAGCCACTTGTTGTCCTTACCTTAACCTTATCATGTTCAGAAATGCTGAGCTTTGACTGTGCTGGGTTCCTAAGGACACAACCCAAAAACGCTCAGCCAACCCTAAAGGGCACCTTCCCAACAAGAGTTTCCTTTATCTGCCCCTCATACCCAGGGATCCTGGACTCCAACCAGGTCACAGCCATGAATATTTATTTCCTAAGGGGAAGCAGGGGTCATATCTAACTATATCTGATCCCCAAGCTTGCATCCATAAGCTCACAAAACCCACCCATATTACTTTCTTTTGGCATTTTCTCAAGTCGTATAATTTGGTCAGGAAATTTGGGGTTAATAATGAGTTATTCTATTGCTACTTTCCAAAGGTAAAATAAAAAGCCATAACACTAAATGTGACATAAACAACATTTAATTTCTGATATTTCAGAAGAGGATCTTGGAGGGCCCTTGGGACACTGGGGACGCACACCACTGCTGCCTGAGGGAGGCTGCATGCAGCCTGGAGAGGCAACCGGGGGCCCCGCTCTGGGCCCCGCTCAGTGAGTAAGTGGCAGTGACCATGAATGAGTCACTTTCCTTCTCCAGTACGGCTGGATGTGAGCATCTCTAAGGTCCGTCCCAGCTCTGATATTCTATGAATAACTAGCAGAGAATGTACTGGGTTGATCTGCCCATTGGCACTGAGGAAGTTAAAAACTCTCTGTAAGAGCATGGGCAAGGCCAGAAACAGTTCTTCGCTGCCTCTGGGCTCAGGATCTCGTCTATCTCAATGTTGGCCCGGCCCTGGGGCCAATCATGAGCAGAACGAGACAGGGAGCGGAAATCACAGAATCTGGGATCTGTGCAGTTTCATACAGTTTGTTACTGAATTTGTCAAGTCCATGGACAAGGACCCTCCCCAATGGAGGTGTGCTGTTTGGCTGCTTATCCTGTCTTCTCAGACCAACAGGAGCTCTGTGGCTCAGTCAACCAAGAGTTTCTAGTTACAGGAATGTGTCCTATCCTTGGGGCCAGGAACAGCAAGAAGGCAGCAGGTGAAGAGAGAACAAACCAACACTTCTTGTCCCCAGACCCCTGTCCAGAAAGCCAGACTGAGAGAGTGATCCAGCAAGGTATGAGCCAGTCTCCATCCACTGTAGGAACTCTAGGAGACCCACATTTCAGGTGCTGCTGTATTTGCCCAATGTCACTGACACACACACAGTCTCAATTGACATTTATCCTCAGGCTTAGCCATCCGTCTCCACTCAGTTCTGGTTAGACTGAACTCTAACCAACCTGAGCAGAATTCTGAGCAATGACTCCTTGTGTCATATAAATAGCTTTGGTGATAGATATAGCCTAATACACACACACACACACACACACACACACACACACACACGGAAATCATCTTCAGGATGATTTGAGCAGGTACTCATTGGCACAACCACCCTGAGTATAGGCGTAGGCTTGGACTCCAGTTTCTTCTTCCCCTTCATCTGAGAGAGCAGAGCATCAGAAAGAAGACTACCCTTGCCCAGCTCTTGAGTAGTGAGGTGGGCAAGGCTCCTAGGTGGAGCCCTGAGTGTCTTCTTGTATGTCAGGAGGCAGGGAGGAGGTTGTGCGGGCCATGCTGGTGGCCAGGGCCTACTTTACTCCTTCAACAGTCCCAGCTTCTTCAGAGCCTCCCTTCTGTGCTCATCAGAGATACCTTTGGGGGAAATCTTGACACTGACACAGGTGGGTCGAGGCAACTTGTCACGGCTCTGTCCTTGGTAAGACAGGCGCTTGGAGCTCTGCTCCGGCTCCTGGTCAGACAACTTGCTCACCTGAATTCCTGCAAAGTCCTTCCCGGTGCCCAAAGAGGCAGGGCGGGGCCGGGAATTACGCAAGACATTGGGTGAGATCTTGTTCAAGAAGGAGTCTTTCCCCAGAGAGGTTCTGGTGTGGGGGCTGGAGTCTTTCTCAGCTGAGAGGTAGCTGCTCAGCCCCACTCCTGAACGCTCCAGTGTGTTGGACTTGAAGTTCATCTGTCTCAGGCCAGGGATGCTGCTTTCCTGGAGAGTCAGCCCTGAGTTTGCCTTTGGCTGAGTCAGGCGACTATTTACCCCTGAGGCCGTAGAGATGGAAATTGGCATGGATTTGGCTGCTGGAACCTTCCCTGGAGAAGAGCCCTGAGCTGGACCCGGAGCGGGAGCTTTTACTGGAGAAGGTCCCCGGGTTGGAGCAGGAGCTGAAGCCTTCCCTGCAGCAGGCACAGCTGCTGAGGCCTGAGTTGTGGGTTGTGCCAGAGCGGGAGCAGAAGCTGGAGCTGGGGAAGGGGATTGAGTCCCCTTGAGTCTAATGGAGCTGGCGGGCTTACTTAAGTGGAGACTGGGCTCTTCTTGGTCCTGGGGTAGCCCCAGCTTCTCCAGGGCTTCTTTGCGGGCTTTCCTTTGTTCCTGCAGGGAAGAGGAGACCAGGCCGGAATCTCCAGGGGCAGTCTCAGAGTGGCGGGAAAGCCAGTTCTGGGGATCACTGTGGAAACTGCTTCGGCTGCTCTTAAGAACAATATTAGGTGGCAGCTTCCGGGGCTTAGGCGTTGTGAGGGGGGCCAGCTGGGCACTTGGCTCGCCCTCTGATTGGGTGGGAACATCTGCAGCTCTCACATTCTGAGACGACATGGCAGGTGGAGGCTGAGGTTGTCCCGGTGCCCCCACTGAGACTTTCTCATTGGCTTTTTGGGACATGGCCTCTGAACAAGTCTCCTTTCTCTTCTGGGGGCTGTTTGACATATGGAGCTGGGGCGAGGGGTTCTTCTCCACTGGCCCTCCAGGCAGGTTACCTTTCCCACCCTGCTCTGGCTCGGCGTCCCGGAAAGCCTCTGGTGGGGGGATGAGAGCTGTGTCCAAATCAAGGGCCACCTCCTGGAGGGTGGCTGGAGCCTGGCTGGGCTCACTGCTCTGGCTGATCTGCTCTTTCTCAGTGTCTGGGATGAGCCTCTCAGACTTTCCTGGAAGGTGGCTATTAGTCTGGGTGGTGCTTTTCCCGAGGCTCTGGTTCCTGCCGATATGGATATTTCTGGGGAGGCTGTAGGAGCCAGATCTGAAGCTTGGGCCTTGGGGTTCAGGCAAATGTGATGAGCTGGACTGAGTTGCTCTCCTTTGGTCTAGTCTTTGCTGGCCGAAAATCTCCTCTGGATGTCCTGTGAGGGTCCGGGAGAATGGGCAAAGAAGAGAGGACAGAGGTGAGAACCCTACTGCCAAGGGAAAAGCAAATAGTTCCTGAACTCTGATCTCCAGTTTGCATGGATGGGTTTTGCCTTTGTTGTCTCTTTGCTTTTAAAGGGGCAGCACTCTTGTCTGGATATCATTTAGACTAACAGGTCAATACTAGCAGATTCCTTTCAACCAAGGATTAATTTTTCAGTATAGCTGGGGAAAGGGCAGCCCCAGACAGCTGCGTGTCCTTGATTCAGGCTCTTCCTCTGCAGCTGCACCAGGGTTGGGGGAGATTAAGGAGAGTCCAGCTATCTTGGGGCTCCCAGATAACTGAGTCCAATGGGAGCATCGGATATGAATGGCATAAACAGGTGATTTGCTCTTGATTTGCCTAGGCTTCTACCTTTTTCCACCTTCCTTTTCTAAAAGTACCTGGATGATTGTGTAATGGCCCATGTTCCCGCACGAGAGTGACATGGGTTCTTTCCTTCCAGTGAGCTAGTCAAGTGCATCAGGCCTACTGGGCGAGGGAGTTAATCTTAGGTGGCAATGAAGTCTCATGGCCCCATTTACCGCTCTAGCTTCAGGGAAGGTCTAACACATTATCAATAAAAATTTATTAAATGAATGAATAAATGATTGCAGCTTTGATACCATTGGGACTCTCCTCAGAAGTAAAGTGCTGCCCTACTCACCTGGACATACGGCCCCACACTCATGTGCTACCCTGTCCCCTTTCTACTCAGCCCAGCACCACTGGCTCTCCACACTCCCTCACAAGAGCCTCAAGGTGCCACCCACCCAGCGAAGGGAGCCCTTCCCTCTTCTTATCTCCCGTAGCCTCAGCCTCTGGGTCATCCAGATTAGCTCCCTAGACTGACTCAGTCTCTCTAGAGCCAACCATCCACCCCTCCCTCACCACTGTGGTTGTATCTGTTTAGAATTTCTCCATGAGTGGACGGGAGCTGGTCAAACCCCTTTCCCTCCCAGGCCTCTGGTACATATAGAAAGACATAGGAAGCTGGCTTGTCAGAAGTCCCTCCTTCCTCCAGGGACAAAGTTTTATTCTAGCCAGGAGAGTGGAGAGGAGCGTGGTCATTGTTTCTCCTGCCTGTGGCCCTTCGAGCAAAGTGCTAACAACGTGGAAAGTGGACAGCAGGATGTTCAGATTTTCTGGGTTTCACTAGAGGTGCTACCCCAGACTGTCTCTCTTACCCTGGGGAGCAGGCTGGATTTTGGGCAGTGCGCGGGGACTTTGGGGAGTTGTGGCTTGCTCGGACTCGTCAGTGGACAGTCCGCTGTCAGCCTCAGTATCCAATGAGCCAATGGTCTCCTCCAGGAAGAGCAAACACTCCTTCTCTTCAGCAGACAGGAAGTCGTAGCTGCTGTCACTCTGAGTGAGGAGAGGAGGAAGCAGAGGAGAAGGGAGCTGTGAGAGGGAGCTCTGCAGAAACTGGCGGGGCCTGAGCACCACCCTGTGCTGGGGAAGGAATGCTGAAGAGCTGGAAACCTTTCCACGATGCTACTCTGCCAACCTGCTGGAGTTGCTTCCTGAACCTGCAGGCCCCAGGGAGGGCTGAGGCTGCTCTCCCACTAGCACCCAGCTCTGGTAGCTGGGGAGACAAATGGCAAGTGGTCTTTCTTTCGCAGTCCCAAGTTCTACTTCCAATTTCTCTGTGTGGCCTGTGTCACATATTTCACTTCATGTGTCTCCAACTTAGCTTTAATTTATATGAGTGACATAAAGGTTTGACCTTCAGTTTGAATGGTACTGTTTTCAACTTTTCAAAGTACTTCTACATACCTGATTTGGCATGTCAAGGACAGTATGAGGACAAACAGGAAACACAGCCAACTACTGGCTGCCAAGCCAATGAGAACAGTGGTATGACTAGCCACAGATAAATTTACTAAATAATTTATACTTGACTGTGAAATGCATTCCACACAGGATTTTTTACCTTGTGTATTTACTTTCCTGATAGTATTTGGTTCTGCTAATATTCAAATAAGTGTGCATTTCTCAAGCAAATATTAACTTAAGAGGACAGGGCGAAGAAACTGGATGGGTATGGGGAGGGGAAAGCAATTTAGTATTAAATAAATATTAAGTAGATATTAAGTAAGTAATTTAATTATGAGAAAGGCCATAGGAATATCTGGAAAAAGTGCTGTGGTCATTTTGGATGGTTTCTGCCCACGTTCTGCAAGGCCAGGAAGATTCATGGAAGAGATACTCTCCAAACAAGAAGGCTGAAGGGAAATCCAAAAGGGGAAATGAGAACATATGAAATTTGGCCAGGGTCCTTCCCTGGCATCTTCTCCCTTCCCCCTAATATTGGAGATACTTCAGAGTTATGTATTCTCCAGGCCCACTCTGATGGCCAGGAGATTTCGGGACAGCCCTAAAAATATCCTGGGCAGAAGGATGGCTGTTGGAGTAACTCTTCCAGTCCCCAGACTCCTTGAAGAGCCATCTTCAGGTGACTGAGAAGCTCCAAACACAGCCCTTGGAAGCCCTGAAGCCGATGCCAGGGGTTCCCTGAACAAAGATCTCCTTTACTGCCCCCTTCCACCTAAAATAGCCTTGCCAGAGGTAAGCCAGCCCTGGACTTCTTGTTTGCGGATGATTCTCTTTGAAAACCTTTAATCCTGGTCGTACTCTGTGTCCAGTGGTCTCTAATTATTCACATTGGCCTCAGCCTTACAGAGGCAAAAATATGTCTCTGTCAAGAAGAAATTATATACAGATTGCCTGCACTTTGGATTTTGTGTGTTTGTGTGTGTGCTATTTTTTCTAATCCATTTTTACATATCAAAATTCATTGACTACATTAAACATCCTTGATGTATGGTAGAGACACTTATAATCCTTAATTTTTAAAATACCTCTAGAGGATATAAAGCCATAAAGTATAAATTCTCAGGCATAATTATGTATGTGACGAATCTCAACAAGAAAGGAATGCTTACATTTGGACACAGGGCAGATTTACTCTATCACACCAGCCATACAACAATTAAGATTTAAATTCATGCCCAGAAAAATTACAGTTTATTATGTGCCACTCACAAATAATTAAACATAGTGAGTTTGGAACAGTCTCAATCTCTGCTCACAGATAGACTATTTCTTTTCTACATACAGACAAGTGCTAAGTGCTTATATGAGTTTCATTTACTTCCACCTAAGAACTCTATGAATTCAGGTTTAATGTTATCCCCATTTAAAACTAAGGAGACTAAAGCTTAAAGAAATTAATTAATTTGCCTAAGGTCATACAGCTTATACTAGGAAACACAGATCCATTTGGCTCTAGAACCCAGGCTCTGAATTACTCTACTCTGTCTGATCTTTTTAAAGACTGAAGTAATGCCGCTAATTGCAGAGAACCTCAGGAATCCATGTGCTACAAGGATCTACATTCTAGTTTCCACCATGACAGATTACTGGCCGGCTCTCTCACCTCAATTCACATCCTCAACCTCATGAAAACTAAAAAAGGTCTCATTTGCCCTGTTGCACTCTGGGGTTTTCTATGGAACCAGGAGTGACTCAGAGGCAGAAAGCATCAGTTGGTATGATTCACTCCCTGACAAGGAAGATGAAAGAGAAGGAGCAGTGAGACAGGACGGTGGTGGGCAGGGCGGGACAGGGCAGGGCAGGTGTGCGGGGAGCAGGCCAGGCTGCAGGACAGAGTACGTACAGATCCAGAGTGGGTGGAGGTGGTGCTCGTCATGCTGTTCCAGCTGCCGACGCGGGTCACAGGTTCCGAGCCAGGCCCCTCTGGCCACAGCTCCCTCTCGGGCATTGCCAGAAGCAAGGTGCAGGGACGGTGAAAGGGGCTCCCAGAGGGGAAGCGAGGGGAAGCGCAGAATGTCCCAAGCTGGGCCTGAAAAGAAAAGAATCAAAGCCATGTGTGAGCCAACCTGGGCTCTGGCAAGGCTCTGCCCAGGCCCAGGGACAGCATGGTGGCAGGGACACCAAGCAAGCAAAGAGCTGGAAGGGGCCATGGACAGCCATTACCCAAACCCAAACGCCCCAGCCCGCATGGAAGGACACAAGCTGGCTCACATACATGCAGAAGGACGGGCTTGGGGGGTGAAGAGGCAGTCTTGGCAGAAAGGAAATCCCATCACTTCCTTTAGTCACCCTTCTCTTTGAACTAGGGAGCTTACTCTGCATTCTCATTGCTACGAACAATAAATATCAGAGGGGTTAATAGTTTAGATTCTGGAGGTAGTTGGATCTGGGTTCAAATCACAGTTTAGCCACTTACAGTTATGTGACTTGAAGCAAATGACTCTGAGTTTGTTTTTCCTCCTTAAATAGGGTTAATGTAAGGATTAAATGAGAACAGTACAATTTAGCTAGTAGTAAATACTCAAACACTTAATGAAAAACTACTACTATCCTTATAATAAGAAAGAGACAAAATCCATCTAGAGTCAAATAAATCGAAGTAAAAGGAAACAAGAGCTTAGAAAAGAGGGGCCTGGGTTAAATGGGAGACCATAGGCTTGAAAGAAGGAACAGGGCCCTTAATAGTACCAACTCCATAGGATTGTTTTGAACATATGACACAATTCTCCATGTAAAACACTTGTGCAGCGCATGGCCCAGTTGCTAGCTGCTATCATAGTCAACATCACCAACGTCATTATGACAGCCACTGCCACAGCCACTGCCACAGCCACCATTAGCTCCCTAGCCTGGGATACACACACACAGCGCCTACAGTGGTTGGCACAAACCCAATTTCCCTCTCGTGCATCACCACTGTTGAACTTATTGCAATGAGTGTTCCTAACATTTGTCAAATGAGCAAGAGCAATGTCTTATATAGTTTCTTCCCAACTGCAATTCCTAGGGGAAAAAAGTTTCATTGCGCCAATAACAAAGTAATAACAAAGGAGGGCAATGTCATCTTTCTTCTGAAAATCACAAGGACTTTCTCATTCCTGTGTGCGAAACACTCCAACAGAGTTGGAAAGGCCAGGGTGACTCTCCTATATGAAAATGAAATTCTAAAAGAATAAAGATTAAAAGACAGGCCAAACAGAGAGCTGGTGGAGAGGTAGAATCCATAATATAGAATACAGTCTGATTTTGAATCCATATTTTCTCTACAACACCATATCTTATTTTCTACCATCTTTTCTACCCTTCCAATACTAGGTAAAATGTCCTAGGAAAATGTGTTCTATTTGAGATCTTGGGACTTGGGATTTGCATTCCAGGTCTAGTTGTCCCTTTGCCAATAACTCCTCCCAGTGCCAGAGTCAGGTTTGGGCTGTACTGGGTGAGTCAGCCGGCCAGCTCTGCAGAGCTGACAAGTACAAGGCCTCACAAAGCTCCTCTCCTACTTGGGAGAAGGCCCTCAGGTGGAGCAGAGAGGGAGGGGCAAGACAATGGGAAATGAAGAAGGAAGATCCCTAATGACACATGTAATTTATGAGGGTGCAGAGCCTCTCAGGAGATAGAGAGGAACCAGGAGGGACAGAGATGCCAAAGACGTCCAATGATAAGTTACCTTGGGCAAGACAGCCCCTGGGTTTCCTTCATGAGGTTAGTTCCCCAATATCCAGAGCCACAAAGAAACAGAAAGATGAGAAATCATGTGAATGAAGTTCTGCCACCTTGGCTATACACTCACAGACAACTGTCTGGGTTCGGAGAGTACCAACTCTGTTAACACTCCATGGGACTGAGGCCATTGCCACCAAAAGGATCCATCTCTCATCAGCCTAGGCACATGGAAGGCACTCAAAAAATGCTAGATGAATAAACTCGTCATCATTTTAGTGTCTATTGGGTTAAGCTATTGGAAGACCTCTTTTTTGGCTTCTACCCTATTACTATAAACTCTAAAATATATTTCCTAGAGGATACATGGCTCAGTGGAATTTGGGCAATGCTTTCAGTCAGACTAACAGGCTGGGTGTGCACTGTTTCCAAGAAGCAAGTGTACATCTAAGGGTCTAGTTTTTGACTCCAGTTTTCTTATCTGTAAAACTAGGGCAGTAAATATTACAAGTGGCACACTGTAATTAATATAATATCTCTGTGAATAGGTGAGAGGACGCTGCCTCTTCCTTTCAGAGAAAATCACTACCCATGTTTTTCCAAGTACACTTCAGCTTTTATAGTCATTTGCTAGCCCATCCTTCCTCCCAGGGTGCCTATTACACTTTCCTTTCAAAACCAGGATGGCCTGAAGCAGCTGGAAGAGGTAGAAACAGTATGCATAGCACTGCTTCAAAAAACATAGCATGGTGTAGCTTACAAAGTGCTTTAGACATGCTGGCTAGATCTTCAGAATAACCTTACGACGTGGGCAGGATGAGACATTTTCATTCAACAGGTGGGAAAGCTGGAGCTCCTCCCACATCCCCTCCATAAGGGAAGGAAGAGCTGCACACACAGGGCAGCCTGTGGACCCTGGCCCTCCAGAGGGCATCTCAGACTGTCCAGATGCAAGAGGGCCATGTGCTGAAAGAAGGGTCATTGGCTGCCCCTGACTAATCACTGAAAGCCCTACAGTCACCCTTCTTCTAACTTATCCCTTAACCCCTGTACATCATTTAGTTCAGCTTTATGCTTCCAAGCCAGGTTTTGCCCCAACAGTAGACATTTCCACAGTAAAGAAATGACATCAAATGCCATTGATAATCATATCATCAGGCACTACGTAACCACTGCAGAGATGAACTGAACCTGAAACCAGAGCTGAATGAGCCCGGAAGTGCTTGCACCTTGTCTCCACACCTTGTTTTCTGACACAAAGAGCCTGAACTGTGAACAAGTCTTCTTTCCCCACTTCCACCCTCCCTCATTGGTTTGGTCTGATCTGGTGCTGCATTTCCTTCACCAACTTTACAACCTTGAAACCTGGGGCTATTTTAGGGCAACTATCGAAACCTCAGGTATTTCATCCTGATAAGAAGCCTGAGAAACAAGCAAAACACTCAGGTGAGAATTTGGTATCTTTTAACCCTTCACCCCTTCGGAGGCCTTGAGGGAGGAGAGAATGGGTTAGCAAATGTGCACAGCCTATAGTCAGGGCCTGCAAAGGCACATTAAATATTAACTACACCACTAACGCCAGCCAAGCCTTGGAGGAGAGTAAATAAATAGCATGTGGAATTCTGGCATCTGAAGAGGGTGGGGTGGAGAGAATGCTTCAGCCCCATTCCAGTTTGGTTTCTCTATACCTTCTAAATAGACTCCTCCCATGAGCCCATACCCAAATCCTCCAAGAGCTCAGCCTCCTTCCCTGGTAGTCAAGGAGGGTGTCTATTTCTCTCAGACCAGGTGTCTGCACTTTTCGCTGACTACCCAGAAGTGTGCCTCAGGCTGGAGAACATTCCAAGAAAACTGCCAGGAATACTACAAGTTGCCCTGCATGTGTTGCTCTCTCTAAGAGCACATGGGCAGGTTTGTGTGTGTGTTAAGGCAACACTACAATCTCCATTTTCACCATGGTGTTTGAGGGAAGGAGTTAGTAGAAACCTCTGCACAAAAGAGCTCTGTTCGATACTGCAGGTTATCTTTACTGCTGACAGGTTCGCCGTCTACGGCAGCCCTCCGCCAGTGAGTGTGGTGGGCCAGCTCTGTGGCGTGGACTGAGTTAAAGGCTAAAGCTCCAGCTGACGGGACTGGAAATCTAATACAAGGGTTGGCAAAAGTGGGTTTACAGTTGTTCGTTTGGAAGATTAAACAATAGGTAATAAATAATAAAAAAATAGATTCTGTGTTTTGAGTACTCACGACAACTGTATAGCCACAGATATGGGCCAACCCTGTATATTCACGCAGAGCTTGTGTGTGTCAGGCCCTGGGAGCCTGGCATGGGGGTCTCCCCCATTCCCTCTTTCCTGCAGCAGGAGAAGGGAGGAAAAGAGGCAAAGTTACAGACCAGAGTGTTAACCCCCCAAGGTGGCAAATGGAGGTCTGACTTACTATTCTGACCTGACATCTACATCCAGCTTCCTTGTGTAGTAAACCTGCCAAACATGCTGCCAACTGGGACACCTGACAGAAAATAAACAAAACCACTTCACTGGTCTGGTTCTCCTTCCTGTGGGCACTGCTGCGCTCCTTTGCCCTACTCAGAACTTCTACCAGAGTCGACATGCTACCATGAAATATTAATGTGGGTGATGTCCCAGCACAGCCAGGTAGCTTTCTGTTTGCCAGTCTCTCTGCCTTTTAACAGGTAAAGTCAGAAAATTAATTGAATGGAACCCTAATAAACTGGACTCTGCAACTAGATTATCCATGGATTTTCCAGAGATGAGCTGGTAGCCTGAGCTGGAGGTTTCCCAATGTAACCAAACGTCACATCCCCTTACAAACAACGGAGCAGAACTTATGCCTTACACGCTGCCATTATCACATTGCCATAATTGAACACACACACACTGCACCCTTTACTTAAATAAAGACAGGTGAGAAATTGATAAAGCCATGGGAGAATTTCCTGTTAGAAATGCAATGGAAAACCACTCTTCTCCCCCTGGCGAGAAGATTTCTGTACTACATTTTGACTTCTCTACTCCAACTATTCTCTTCCAAAGTCACAACTCAATTTGAGTTTCTCAGAGATGGAAATTTCCGAAACAAACTGATTTTCCCTCCCTGTGTCTGCACAATATGCTTATCCAACCTAAATAGGCAGATTAAAAAAAGCATTCCAGCCCTCATCTCCATAAAAGCACTTCAGTCCAACCTTTTCTGATCCCCGTTGGCCTGTGAGAGTTGAGGAACAGACAGGAAAGCCCCCTAGCTGGGGTGCACAGGGCTCCCCACAACCCTGTAGCTCTGAGTTCCCATAGAGCAGCCACTCTCGCCCTCCATCCACCCCCCACCTTTCTACAGAATAAGCAGTAGTTGGTTAACGATGGACTCACCTTCACTGAGTGGCAGGCAGAAGAGAGGAAAGAAATACCCCTGTATTTCAAAGGGCAGAAACGGAGACAAGGAGACAGAGCCTGCTTCCCCTGCCTCCTACAGTTTTCTTCTTTTGACCTCTTCCTGACTTACCTGGACAGGTAAATGCTTCATCAGTGCTGGCTCACCCCACCCTGCTACTGACTCACAGCCAATCCCAGCCTTCCCTCCCTACTTCTCATTCCAGCTGTTTCTCCAGGGAGGGCACTGCTGTTCTCACTTAGCCAATCATCTCTTGCCATCCCTTCCCCCATTTAGAGCCAATAAAGAGCCCTTGGAAAAAGGAGGGCTGGAAGGCGGAGGGACTGCTTTGGGCTGAGACTGGGAAAGGCAAGTTGGCAGGGAGGGAGGGAGGGAATAGGCAAAAAATTTTTTAATCTTCATAGGAAGAAACACAGTCCACTGGATAGTGTGCTTTTTTTTATGTATGTCTGAAACTTGGTTTTCTATCTGGAGCCTTCTTCCACTTGAAACTACGTATTCCCCTGAATTCCCCAAGTTAAAATTCCCAGGGGCCAGTCTTGTTCATTTAATGGCTTTTCTAGTCTTTCAGAATCCCTGTCATCCTTAAGCCTTTTCCTAGCAACTCATAGTGTTTCAGACTCCACTCAGGACTGCTGAAGATGTATACAGTAGGGATGCCAGAGCTGACGCACCCTTATCCCCCACAATTTGCCAAGGGCCTTCTTGGCCTTATTTATTTCTAGGGGAAATAAACCATTTTCTCCTCTGAGAGGTCCCTGATGAAAAGCGACTGGACAGCCCCAAAGGAGGGAACATGCTCAGTGTCATTTGGGTCTCTGGTTTCTTAGCTGTCATGGAAGGTAGCAGTAAGTATTAATAAATAAAAACAAAGTAGGCTCCCAACCAGTTTAGCAACTCCTGTCTCCTTCCATGGCAGATTTTTGGCACCTGTAGTTAACCTGAAGAGAGGCGGGAGAAGGGAGTAGGTGGAAGAATCCAATGTTTTCAGGAAGAACTCTCCCTCCAGGTATGAAGGACAGTTTTACCAGATACAACTTTTGGCCTGGAAGCTGATTTTTCCTGATTATAGGTTATCCTCGATATCAAAAGGGCAGAAAGAAAAATGAAAATCAATGCACATAACAACTGCCAACTTTTATAAAGCTCTTGCTATACCCTGGTATTGTTCTGTACTAAGCATTTTCATCCCTCATTTCATTTAATCTTTATTTCAACTTCAAAATGTAGATGCTGTTAATATCCAAATTTTATAGGGAGGTCACATAGCCAGGGGGGAGAGCAGAGATTTCAATTTAGGCACTATGATATCAAACTCACTATGTATTAGTATGATGCCAGTCAGCCTCTATCTTAGGAGAAAATCCTAAGTGGAAATGAGAAATACACAGATAATTTGCAGGTCTGATTCTAGCCATTAGATTCATCCTTTCTCATCTCATTTCTGTCTTGGAGCTTTTCGTATCTTATATGACAAGATGACACATGGCTTTCATCTTTTCTCTTTCTATGGTCATCGTTGGTTAGGAAATAAGAAGAGCAATGACCCAGAGGGCAAAGTGGAGAGGAGGCAGGGCAGGACTGATGAGGAGGAAGGAGGTTTGAGGAAGCCAAAACCAGTACCCTATCAGCGGCATATGGATAACAGAGCTTACTGAGCATAAGAGCGATGACCTCTCTTCCTGATGTGCCATTCAAACATGTATGATATCATAATACTAATAAAACAAGAAGGCATCTCCTAATCAGGTGTTCAATGCAGCTAGAGTTACACCCATGGATGAAGTCACTGAAGTTGATCCAGCTGCATAGATGTGTAATTTGAACATTTGCTAAAAAAAAAAATTAAATAAATAAAATGAATTGACTTGTGAGCATTAACCTCAAAGATATAGTAGATATAGTCTTGTGAATACAGTTTTTCAGTATATAATGAATTTGGGATAATTAAGAAGAGCTCTTGTCTTTTACAGGTAGAAGTGGGGACATAGACAAAATGACCTTTCTGCCCTCTTTCCTTTTAGGCATCTTTTTTTGAAAATTATAAAATATTTCAGATACGTTGTATGACAAGCACCATTGTACCTAATACCCAGTTCAAGAACTAGAACATGAACAGTTGAAATTATGTACAAGTTTCACCCCCTCCCTCCTCTCCTGCTGCCTTAAAACACACATATATCCCAGCCGAAATAAATCACTATCATGAATTAGGTGGTTTTTTACGCTTTAATTTATTTATTTTTAGAGAGAGTGGAAGTGAGGGAGAAAAAGAGGGAGAAAAAAGTCAATGTGTGGTTGCCTGTTGAGCGCGCCCTATTGGAGACCTGGCCTGTAACTCTGGTATGTGCCCTGACTGGAAATTGAACCAGTGACACTTTGGGCCGGTTCACTCAATCCACTGAACCACACCAGTCAGGGTGAATTTTTTTTTTTTTTTATTCTCATGTCTTTAAATGTTTTACCCTGTAATCTTTCTTGCTTTTGCTTTGCTTTCTTGGAAAAATACCGAGATTCTAAGGTTCCAAGAATTGGGAAAGGGGGTCTGGGCTAGGGGAAGAAAATGACTTCCAAAATCAGAAATCTCTGAAAGACTAAGGTTCCCTGGTTGATGATGCAGGCCATCTTTTGAGGAGGAGTGTGTGTCATTGCTCTTCGTGTCCGAATTCTTGTTTGATGACCTAACTCTGTGCAATCCAATTACAGTTCAGCTTGCCTGACTCATCTGTGTCCTCAGTCTTTCTCCATCCTGGAATGCTGCTATGGTGCAGTCATCTCCTCGATTGTCAGAGACTGGTTTACAATTTCTTTTCTCTGTACAACGTCTCGGTGAGGTACCTCACTTCCCCTGCTCAAGCACACTTCTACACACACACACAACTTCAAAACTAAAATATACCACAGGTAGTCACTGGTCAATCTCTCCTCTTTGGATACCTTATAAAGTTGATCTCTCTGCAAAATACTTGTGGACCTCCATTCTATATCATATTATATCCATAATGGATATCCTCCATTATGGTCACATTCTATTTTTCTTCCCCCTTTTTTTAAATAAAGGAAAAAGGAAGTTACTTTGAACATGTATTATCATCCTCCCTAAGAAACACTGGGTACCCACTATGTTTGTGGTATTGCGCATGTTACAATATGCTGGGTTTCTAACATATTGAGGGGAGGGAAGGGTTTGGTTTTTTTTTTTTTTTTAATTTCTTTTTCTTTTTTCTTTTTTTTTAAACTTTTTTTGGAGGAAAAGTTTTATTCCTCAGGTAGCAAGAGCGGCTTTAAAGAGAAAAGAGCTAGGGAAGGATTCAGATAAGGGTGGTTAGAATTTGGAATTAATAGGCCACATTAAGACATGAATTAGATCACCAAGTTCTCACCAAAGTGATATTAGAGTTAAGCCTAAAATAATTAGATGGAAACCAAAGGGTGTAATTAAGTAGATTTGGATGGAGTTCTGCAATTGCTTAATCATTAAGTAGTTCCTAGGAGATTTCTCCCTTTCTTTGAGAGCAGTGTTACTTTGGCCCACCTATCATGGAAATTTAGAGGATTCAGTAGTTTTTTTCCTCCCAGTGCTAATGAAAGTTTGAGGGCTGAGGTCATCTTTTAGCATCAGGGGGTTCTGTAAGAAACACAAAATCTTAACATGTTCAAAATTGAACTAATCTTGCACCTCCCCCTCAAATCTGTGTTCTCCTCCTCTATCTGCATGCCAGCTAATAGCATCACTAAACCTACTCTCACTCAGACTCAATGCATCAGAGCACTCCTGCCATATCCCCTGTCTCCTGTGAGATTGCTCTTATATCTCTTTTCAGCTCTTCATCCTCCGTACTCTGGTTCAGGACTTCACTATATGTATGATTACGGGTCATTAAAGAAAGAAGAGACTACAGAAATGCCTTGTTTTATGTCTTCCATTTTATAGATGTTCATGTGAATTTCATTCCTTTCAAAATGCTTTGACGTATTTTTATATCATTCAAGATGAAATTCTAAGTACCTGTATGACATAAAAAGACCTTCGTAGGCTGGTGTCTCCTATGACATATTCATCCATATTCTAAAAAAAATCTTTTTTCAGAGAGAGGGGAAGTGGGGGAAAAAGACTAGGAGAGAAACATTGCTCTGTTGTGCATGAGCCCCAGTTGGGGACCTGGCCTGCAATCCAGGCATATACCCTGACCAGGAATTAAACTGGGAACCTTTTGGTTCACTGGCTAGTGCTTAATCCCCTGAGCCACAACAGCCAGGGAAGGAGCTCTTGAACTTTTGCTGTCATGCATATACCCAAGTCTGAGCTACTATGAAGGCCCCCAGCTGATGATGTTTTATATTGCATTGATTTAAAACATCTGGCAATAGTCTAACCTATTTTTTTCTCTTAAAATGCTCCTAAAATTCTTTATGTTATTTACTTATTATTGTGGATATCTCAAATTGTTTAATAAATAATAATTATCAGGTTTAACACTATTTACAATAAACTATACATATAACAAATATTCAATACTGGAAAATTCCAGGGATAATATTTGGATCTCTCATCAAGCTCCTAAGAGCTCTACAAAGAAAATTTGTTGAAACAACAAATTTAAGAATTTATTTTGCTTCTCAAACTTGTTATTTCTTGGAACATTTTTCATATAATTTGCATTAAAATCCTATAATTTATTAATTCTATTCATTGTTAGCAATAGACATGGCCATGGAATACGCATTTACAACAATAATTATAAGCAAGAGGCTGATGAGACTGTAACCATCTCTCTCCTCGCTGTGAGTGTCCCGGTCCCAGAATGGCAGCTTTTACCTTTCATTCCACAAGCCAGCATTTCCTGCTCTTGCTTTTAACTTGTTATCACTGGATTCCTTCAAACCACTAATATTTCTTGTTGATCATAAAACAAGCAGATTGGCACCACTATAAATTCATGAATAACAACCTCCAATAATGACCTTCCACCCCTCTTTTGCTCTCTTCATTTTTAGATAGTGACTTTGCCATAGACTTTGAAAAATTCAGTAAGAAAAACAGCAGCCAAGAGGCAATAACTCCCTCTTCCC